CGTTAAATACTGTGATTGCTGTGATTGGCAGCATAAAAAGCAGCTGAAGTGTCTGCTCATACACCTATGAATGTATTCTTATGTCATTTCAACTGCTTGTGAATTTTTTTCTCCTGTCTTTCTTTTCTGTTAGAAATATTTAAAGATTGCTCTGAGTTCAGGAGCAAATTGTTTGGAAAATTTGGTGCTAAAACGGGTTCTTCTATTTTCAAGAATGAAGTGACAGGACATATTTTCAGCTCTTCATCCAAAGACTGTCTGGACCCTGAGTTTGGAAATGACTGACAACAGAGACCAGGCACGTAGCTTGTTTGCCCATGGAATGTGTCATAATCTGTATAGAAAAGGTCTAAAATGGAGCTGAACAGTTCAAATTTTCAGGTTGTGTTTTGGAAAAAAAACAATAAAAAACAAGAAAACAAAAAACCCCCAACCCCAGTCAGACCACAAAAAACCCCTCACCTGCCATGGAAAAGTATTTGCTACTTTCTTTAAAATCATTAAAATATGTTCAGAAAATATTAGTTAGAGTAACACTGGAAAAAAGACAGGAAATGATCAAGCAATCTTATGTCTCCTTCTGCAGACATGTATTTATGACAAATTCTTTCATGTTATGATTGGATGGTATCTTTAAATTTTTTAAGACCTTGCTTTCTTCAGCGTTAGTATTTGTCACTGCAGTGTGAGGCTGTGAGCAACCTGACATCCAGAGTATCCCACCTCACCAGCTGTAGTGACTGGATGGCCTTAGTTTATCAATCCAGTGATCAGGCCTCTGATGCCACAGCTGACCACATGAGGCGTCCCATGTCAAAAATTCTCATGGAGCTCCACAAGTCAGTGCTTGTCAGTTCTGTCAGGACACAGAAAGAAAAAAAAAAAAAGGCAGTTATCTTATCAGGCATAAAAAGAAATGTAAGAATGCACACGTTTGCTGAAGTTTCAGAAATATTCTTGTATTTTTTTGTCTATATACATATGCATGTATATATACAGGTGTATGCCTTGTCAGGGACACGCTTAGTACATTGGATGACAAGTACACGTGGTGGTTCTGGCTCCTTGCTCAGAGCCAGAGGTACAGTCTCCACTCTGGGCAGCATATCTTTAGAAATTGCTGGAGGAGGGCATGTAGTTCTGTCTGCCTTTGCCATTTCACACAGCACGTGGAAGATGCATTTTCTGGAAAAGGTAGAACAACATGAGTTGAATAGACAAGCTACCAAATACAGAGCTGGTGACTCACCTCACCAACTGCATCTTTCCAATGGCCTCACACCTTATGAACTTTTTTTAATTTATCTTTCAATGACTGACCACTCATTTGTCATGTCGACAGGCAGTGGCCACCTGAGGACACTAGCTACTGTTATGGAGTCACTGAGACTGAAGAGAAAATGGAGAAAACAGCAAAAAATACAAGACTGCTAGTCTGTCTCTAAACGCATAGCTGGATAAATGGTCATTCTGATTCTGTTTGTGCATGAAAATACAGCTATTCTGTTGGTATTAAGCTCCTTGATCTATTTCAGCTTCGAAGAAGAGCTTAAGGCAAAAAGATATGTTTCATTATATGTGAGAAGGAAATAGGCTGTTGACTATTCTTGAACTGAGCATTCTGACTCAGAGGAAATGTAGATGTATAGAGAGGAGCACAGAGGAGATGGAAGCCATTCCTCTACCTGAATCCAGCAATACTTCCAATCATGACAATACACCCAACTATTTGTTTTCAGAAGATTTCAAATGCCCTGTTAGTGTATAGTGGAAACATGTCAAAGTCAAAGGTTTCCCTTGGGTGTCCTATGAAAGAGCTTGAGAAATGTGAAATCTGAGAAACAGAATATTTTTTTGGGGGGAAGGTGAGTAATGTAAGGACTGTCCATTGGGCTTTTAACCTACAGGATAGCTTAAAATTATGTTTTCTGGAAAGCTTACAGATCAATGTATTTGTATCTTGGTCTGACAGAACAGTCTTGTAAAGGAATCACTCAAGTCTTCACCATGTCTTACAGGGATAAATCTGAATTTTCTCATTTGATGAAGAGCATAAGTAGTATTTCTAAGTGGGCAAAAGTAGGTTTCAGTGGTAGAAACTTCCACAAGCAGAGGCAGAGCCAATGTGTAAGGGTAACCCTAAGAACTGGAGGTGTTATGGGAGATGACAGTAAAGAGTTTTCATTATGATTGAATATTAATTAGTGACATGGCTATTAATGATGACAGTAATTAACAGAGGAAGGAAAGACTTGTCATTGTCCCAAGGGTGAGTAATCAGTCTTGGCAGGTGATAAATAATGGTTCAGCAAACTCAGCAGAAAGATAATCTGTCTGCCTCAGGACAACTGGAGAACAGCTATAACATCTTCCAGGCTCTTGGCAACATTCAGGAATGACTTCATGTTTTTAACAGAGACAAATTAAAATTCCTGATCTTAAGTGCTGCTTGTATTCTGGAGTGGCTGATCACAGGAGTCCTGTTTGAGTACCTTCAGCTTACTTGCCCCTTTAAACTCTTCTTAATGGGCAAGAAAGACTGGGGGACCAGCTTTCAGTGTTACTTGAATTTTATATTGTAGTGTGATGGAAATTGAATAGGTTCCTGAAAAGTGGCCTAGGGCTGGGGACATGATCATTCTGTGTAAAAATGGAGTGGGACTTAATCCTGCATTAAGTATTCCTATACATCTGGAAAGGGATCATGGAATATGTACTTCACCTCCCTTGAGCAAATCAATGTAACACTCCAAATGTTTTTCAGGTATCAGCTGTCACATCACTTGGCAATATAATGCCTAAGAGATCACTACAAGCCTGTAACCTGAGACCAAAATCAGAAGAAACAGTGGCCTTTTTTTTTTGGGGGGGGGGGGGGATGAACTGAAAATCCAGGAAAGATTCCAGTTTCACTTGAACCAAGACAGTATTTTATGAGGTTTTGTTTTGATTCTAACAATACAGAAGCACTTCAGTTTGAGTCCTCTTGAATTAGTTTTCTAACCACAACTGCTGTGTTCTGCCTTTAAATAGTTTTGTTTTGTAAAAGGTGAAAGGGAACATTCATGTTTATTAAATAGAATATTTTATTAACAAACTTGTCAAAACAGCATTTACTGGCTCTGAACATATTCCCCATATGTTATTCAGTTAGCAGTGTTCAATAGATATGTTCTCATTTAGCAGATAGTTTTGGACCCCTCATACCTATTTTTCTGAATAAATTTGTTGTTCATGAAAAAATGATATGACCTCAGGATGCATCTGGCAAGGTGATTTCCGTAGAGACAAGGCAGTGCTGGCACCATTGCCAGAAGAGGCATTGGTTAGTGTTCTGCAGCTCTGGTGACCCCAGTGCAAAGAAATGGATTTAAATTTGAAAAGTTGCTGAATGGGAAAGTAGAGGGGGACACCATACTGAGAGGATATTAGAAGAGTTTGGTTGGTTTAGTGAAATAGAGGTAGGGAGACAAAAGTGTCAGCCCACTGTAGAAACATTCAGGAGAAACTGTCAAGGAAGAAGAATAATTCTTTTCCTTCAGTGATAATGCAGGTATGATATAAAATGCATATAAATTGCACATTAGCAAACTTAGACTCTGAAGTTACAAGAACAGTTCAATCTATAAAAATATTTAATAAAAAAAATCTTCTGGAATAACTTTCCAAATAGTATAGTGGCAACTACAATTGCTCTTAGGTGGAGTTAGAAGGTGTGGAGAATGACCATATTGCTAAGAATACAAGCTTGGTAGGTTGGTCCTTTAGTATCTGTTCATTGTTCATCTTCAAGACAGACTGAGACAACGCCCAGCTGCTGCTTCTTGCTCACATCTGTTTGCCCAGTACTTAAATGAAATCAGATGCTTCTCTTACCATCAGGAGCTCTGCTGATTGTCTGCAGGGAACAGTCAGGTTGTTTTCACTGCCTTGCGTGGGGGTTGGGGGAGGTCAGATCCATATCCTGCTTGCTGCTGAAGCCCGACTGAAGAGAGTTTACTGGTGTTCCTTGTAGTGTTATGGGTCTACTTATATTGTCAGGGGAGTGGGAACTGCTATCCCATTCTGTTTGTAGTAGAGTCCATATTTTGGGGGGAATTTTACCTGTGTGGGAGAATCAGTCAGACCTGCAAATAATTGCAGAGACCTGGGCCACTAGCAGTGCCTGTTGTGTCTCTCTGTGGCACATTGTAATTGTGACTCCTGGCCTTTACTGTATTTAGGTTTGTTGAGGCCATAGGGTAGTCCTGTCCACGTCTGAGCTCAGAAGTGCTCCATGCAAATAAGTTCCTCTGGGATTTATTTAGTAAGCCTGAACCATAGCAAGTTTGCAGACAACTCAAAACTGGGAGGAGCTGTTGACTCTCTTGAAGGCAGGCGAGGCCCTTGACAAATTAGAGGGCTTACCATTCACCAACCATATTTAGTTCAATCAAGGGAAAGTGCTAGATTCTGCACCTGGGATGGGGCAACCCTGGGTGTACATACAGTCAGGGGAATGAGGTGCTGGAAAGCAGTGCCATGGAAAGGGACTTGGGGGTCCTGGTTAATGGCAAGTTGAATATCAATCAGCAGTGCCCTGGCAGCCAGGAGGGTCAGCCGTGTCCTGGGGAGACATCAGGCAAAGCATTGCCAGCTGAGTGAGGGAAGGGATTGTCCCACTCTGCTCTGCACTGGGGCAGCCTCACCTTGAATATTGCGTGCAGTTTTAAGCACCACAATGTAAGAAGGATGCAAAGCTCTTAGAGAGCATCCACAGAGGGACAACAAAGATGGTGAAGAGCTTTGGGGGGAAACCATATGAGGAGTGGCTGTAGTCACTTGGTCTGCTCAGCCTGGAGAAGAGGAGACTGAGGGAAGACCTCATTGCAGTCTAAAACTTCCTCATGAGGGGAATCAGAGGGGCAGGCACTGATCTCTTTTCTGTGGTGACCAATGACAGGACCCTGTGCTCTTGGTGTTTAATGCTTTCTTCTTTGTTTGTTTGTTTGTTTGTTAAGGTTCTGATATTGTGCAGTGGCTTATGAAGAACCTCAGCATTGAGGATACAGGTAAGGTGACCACAGTTGAGGAGGAGCAGGTACTCCATCTATATTGTGTGTGCTATTAGACAATAATTATTATTTTGCTGCAGTATATAATACCAGTAAAACAACACAGTTGATTTAAGCATTGCAGAGAAGGAAGAGGGAAAGAGTTAAGACTCAACATCTTAATTAGTCTACATTGCAGCACAGAGAAATCCCATTGTAGGAGTTTTAGCTTGTCTGTGAAACTATTGCTACCTTGGGAAGACTGATTGATTTTAAGTTTGTTCCCAGACTTAGAAAGGAAGTTAGTGTATGTGTGTGGTTAAGCAGGCAAATGCAGTAGCAGGTTTTCATGGTGAGAAGAAAGGGAATCATGACTGACAGGACAGACTGGCCAAAGATGACACGGACACCATCATGGGATCAGGTGACAGCCTCCAATCTATTGCAGTAGATAGGTAAATCAACGGATAGATAAACGGATAATCAGCCATAAAGAGTGATCAGTGCATGGACACAGTCCAAATAGTTACTCTTCAGAGAAACCAAAATAATTTTGGCACAGTTATGAGCTATTGAGAAAAGAGGGAAAGCAGATCCAGAAGTTTCTTTTTCTTTTCAGGAAAGGGAAAAAAATCCAGAATGTCACCTAGCAGTTTTTTTGCTGCCTTGTGAAAGAGACAGAGAGTGTTGTATCATCCAGCAGGGCATACCTATCAACACATTCCTTCTCATGAGTCCTGTCAGGTCCCAAAAATGAATTTCAGCTGCAAACAATAGGTTTATTATCTACCTGAGCAGCTGATTGTATTTTTCAGTTCTGAGAAAGTTGATGAAGCTTTTGACAGCTGGCATTGGTTGAAAAATTTGGTTGAAAATCTGTGCAGCTGTGCCTCTGTGCTGGTGAAGTTTGCCCTGGCAGCACTAGGAAATGTACTCCCCTTTGCCTCTGCACCATTTTTTCTCTAACAAGTGGCAATGCTACAGTGTCAGGATGTGTTGTTATGAATAAATATCCTGCTAATGACCTGATGTTGCAGGTGTTTGTTGGATTTGGTAGAGGCAAGGGAGGTTCCCTGATGGAACAGGCTTCTTGTCAGCTGTCACCTGTGGTGGATAATGTGCTTTGAAATTAATTTCATGTTCTAGAGCTGAACTAGTGTGTGACATTTTGTGAACACAAAACGAGCAGGTTAAACTTTTGAGTGGTGCTTCATCTGTATTGTAAAGCTGAATTCTGCACTCCTGCTTTGCATGGTTTGGTTGGAAGTAGTAAGGATGGGGTGCAGGTGCAGAGAGGCATGTGGGCACCAGATTTCACAAGTCATCACCAGAGCTGCTGTTGGAAGCAGAGAAATGTGCAGTGCACATCTTCCTGACATCCCTATGGTTTTTCTCTCTTTCACAGGGGAAGCAATACACTTGGGAAGTCTCATCGCTGCACAAGGTTATGTCTTTCCAATCTCAGACCATGTCCTTACCCTGAAAGATGATGGAACATTCTATCGTTTTCAGGTTGGTGAGCCCTCTGACTCCCTTGTGGCCCCTTCCACTGTCCCTGAGGTAATTCAGCTGAAATCACCCACCCTTTATTCCTGAGCAGCCACTAGGTCGATTGAGCCTATCTTGGTACAGGCCTTAGGAAGTTATGAAGTCTTTTCAGAAAGATCTGCTTTAGAATCCCAAATTACACTCTTTTACTTTCTTACCTACAGTTTTTACATAAATTAATGGGTTTGTCCTGTGCTTATTTTTGATATGTTATTTCAGGGCTATTGTACTCAGATTTTAACTAAGCCAGGAGAAAGAAAATGATTTTCAGGCTCTAACTCTGGCACAGAATTAAGTAGCCATTCTTCTGTGCAAAATAGACTAGAGCAAATTAGGAGTTGGACATCCAAGCTTTGGCACAGCAGAAAATTCAAAGTCTTACCCTCTCTTGCTTGCAGATTGGTGTGGGAGGGGGCGAGCTTCAGGCTTTGGCTCTTTTACAAAAGATGTGTAACCTTGGCAGTCACCTAAACTGGGACATCTGTGTCCCTCAGTGTCCCTGTGCCTCCAGATGTGCTGAATTTTTAAAGCATCCTGTGCTTGAGTTCTATGCCCTGTCCAAAGTCTGCCACTGTCAGCTTCTTAGATAACTGAGTGCTTGTGCTGCAACAACTCCTTTTGGACAGATTGTATAACTGTAGAAGAAGTGGTAAGTCCAAACCTGGAGTCCTACTGCCTAATCCTGCTGTCTGAATTTGTTTTTCTGTTACATGATCTCAGACAGATCCCTTATCTTTCCTGTGACCTCTTTTCTGTTCACCCTGCTGTTCTTCCTTTACATTTTTTTTCCTCCTTTTTAGCTTTTATTTGAAAAGCTGGTCCTGCACTTTGCATCTGATGTTGCTGCTGCTTGTTCTCACTGTCCTGCTAATGTGGTATTGTGTTATCATATGTGACAAATATCATGGTGAACCAAGAAGCCCAGGAGATCACAGACTTCCTCTTATCTCACCCCGCCTTCTGGTTACCACACATCATTCAGACACATATTTTTCATTACAATTCCTTTCCTTTTAGGAAAGTCCTGCTTTCCTGTTGTGTAAGATGTGACAGAAGCAGGGGCAATACTGATTGCCCATTTAGCTGTATTTTTCTCTTTCATAAAAGGATGACACTGTAAGAAGTTTTCCTGTGCAGCTCTTAGGAGCTACATTTCAATATAATTTAATTTCCTTTTCTTGTTTTAAGTCTGTGTAAACCACATCATCAAACTGACTGCTTGTTGACTTTTTTCCTTGTCTTTTCTTACAACTTTTGCATATTCCTTGCTTGTTGTCGTTTCCTGCAACAGACCTCCTCAGATGTTTTCTGCAAAAATAACCTGATAGAATCATGTTTCCTTTCCATTACTCTTGTCTTGCTACTTTTTACCTCAACATTAGTCCCTGCTTTAACAGTAGCTTTTCATATTCTGAAGCTCATAAGATGTATATAATTGAGGAGCATTAAACCACATATTGTTTGAATACTCTGTGTTTTCTTACTGTACTTTGGTGCAAGGAATGGTCTCTGTGCTAATGACCTGTGCCCATTTGTGGCGTTACATCAGTAGTGCAAAGCAGTGTTCTGTAATTTGTGTGATCACCAGGACATTATTTTTCATTTATGTTAAATCTGAAATACAGCCACATACAGTGATATCTTGTGATTAATTGTAGCAACGGCAATAAGCAGACCTGGATAGAAAACAAAAGCAGTAAACTTAGCAGGACTTCTGCTTTTGGAATGACTTGACTCTAAACAGCTAAGTTTTGACCTCTGCCATCTGCTATAATTAAAAAGTAAATTGTTTTGTAGTCTGCCAGCCACACTGGTAGCTGCTCCAAAAAAGCAAGTGCTATGTAGCATATAGATAAGGCCATGAGGTTTGCAATGCTTTAAAAAGAAATAAAAATTCAGAATGTGAATTTCTGGGGAAAGAGAAGGTTCTTAAGGATAGAGGATAAGAGGTCCACATTGAGCTGGCAACAGTGTCTCAAGTTTCATCAGGACACTGGACATTCTCCTCAAGAGACGCTTGTATTACAGCATCTCTATCTCCCTGCAGTGAGGAACGTTAAAGGCCATACCTTTCTGGCAAAGTATCCTCACTAATACTGAGATTTGTAGCAGTGTTTTCCCCTGAGGGCAGAGACTAGGTGGTAGACTTTGTGATTCTTCTTATTGTACTTATGTTTCTCTGCATTTGAATTGCTTTTCATCTCTTAAATTATAAAAATGTTTATGTTTTTTCTTAGGCACCATACTTTTGGCCCTCAAATTGCTGGGAACCAGAAAACACAGATTACGGTGAGTATAATCATTTCACTGTAGAAAATTAGTACAGAAAGTTTGGGATGAGAAAAAAATGTCCTTAAAATAATTACTGTTTGCCATCTAAATCCTTCATCCACATAGTTGTCAGATGACAGCATTAGAGGCAGATATGTGCCCATCTCAAATACATGAATTGAAATGCTGGAGTGTCTCGAGCCCATGGAGTTGTAGCCATTGAGCTCAGTGGGGCCAGAGTTTTACCTGTCATTACCTTCATTCTCCCACAGCTCCATGCATATCAGCAGGATTTTTGGCAAGCAGAATACTGGTTCTTGGGAATCTTAAATAATACCAATATTGCTTTTGTGGGAGAGCATAACTGATCTGTAGCTGAATCTGATGTGTTCATCAATAAAATCTGGGCACTCATCTCACTGCTCAATAAACCAGTACATAACTATTGGTGACCCATAGTTAAAATAGTTAAAAGTTCTCTGATATATGACATCGGACTTATTTTTCCAGATTGTTTAAGATTAGCAGATGATAGGGTAAAGGAGAAGACTGAGCATGGTTTATGAGCTAATAAACTGCAACATGGTGTGTTAAGCATGTGAGTGCCTGCAGACAGTGATAATACATAAAGAAAATATGTCAGTATTGTTATCTTTAGCTGTCTGCATGCAGTATTGCTGTCTCTGCCAGAACTCCACTTCTTTCACAGTTAAATGATAAAATTAATTATTGTATCCTGGTGTGGCTTTGGAAGAGGAAGTGTATCCATGTGTGCAGTCATAAAACAGGAGCTTCTGGAAGTCCTTCTTTTATCTCATTACCTAAGATTGGTTTAGAATGCCTCCCTGAATAATCAGTTTGGGTTTTTTTTCCCGGGTTATAATTAATCATCATTATGGATTCTGGAAATTGTTTGCTGGGGTGAAGAAGTAGCCTGCTATGGTGTGTGTCATATGATATTTCATTTGCAGTCCTCATCTGCAGGGAAGCTAGCAGAGACTTACGTGATTATCCCAGTGAGGGAACTGCTTTGGAGAAAACATGATGCTGTTCAGTATATGCAAAATAATTTCCAGATTTTACAGTCATCATATATTGCTGTGTGAACTGTGCCAAATACGTATTCTGTAAATACCAGAATAACAATGTGAAAAGGGAAGTTCCTTTTTTCCCCCTGCAATATCAGATAAATAATTGTTTTTGCAGTCAGATTATTGTGCTGAAGTGGTATTGAGTGGAGCAGTATACCCCAAAATAAAGCCCTATATGAGCTGACCCCCAGCTGGACAAGCTTCAACTGCATTAGCTCTGAGCCCTGTAGTAACAGATTTGCATCTGTCCCAGAAACCTCTAACATATGCTTATAATCAGACTTTGCATATCAGAGGTCTGTACAGATGGAGTCTTCACAGGAATTAATCCCAAACTAGCAGTGGACCCAAATAAAACTGAAATCCCAGCAGCACTTCATACTTTTTTTTATTTGCATGTGTCCGCTTACAGGACAGGAACTAGCCTGTTAATGGCAGGTCACTGCCTGGCATGAAACAATACTGTGAAACGACTGACTCTACTTTATTTGGTGTTGTAAAGGGCTTACAGCAAAAACTGCCCTTGAGATGTATAAATATAAATGAACTGGTTGGCTCTGGTTACCGTGCATAATATTGGCTCACTGTGTGAATGTTAAAATTATAGAAATAGCATAGAATAGAATTACATGAGTAGCACTAGGCCTCTGTTGTATAGTTTAGACCTAACTATATACCCAGGGTGTGCTGTGGACCTTGTGTTTCAGCCTGTAATGCAAGTGGAGTGAGTTTAGCAGATCCAGGTGAGGCTTTCCCAGAAGGCAACCTGGGACTGGTTTGGTCTTGTGCACTGGGCTCATCTTGACTCTCAAAATCCCAAACCACATGAGTTTCAGGAGCATCTGCCTATGTTGAAATGTGACAAGGCTTCTCTTAACCATTTGAAATGTGCAGAATAAGTGGATGGAGCATATTAAAAAATGCCAGTATATACCTTTAAGGTCTGGCCCATATTTCTGTTTTCATTTCAGTGTCCTTTATTCTTATTTTTATTTTTTTCTTACAGTGGCGGAAAAGAAGTGCAGGCATATTCCCAAAGTCCTGAGAGGAACAGGTTACTAATTCTGTATCTTTTACAAGCCCCAGAAGCAACTGTGCCTTTTTTGGACATCTTGTTAGGTCCTGGCATCTGCTCTCAGCACTTTTAAATGAGATGTCCAAGATGTTTAGGGCCTCTGAGATTACTAGTGGGTGATGTTAGCTGGGTGTTCAGCCTTCTAATTCCTTGACTCATGTTGCTTTCTGATGAAACTGAACAATCTATGGACTACTTTTTTCCTTCTTTTTTTATAAGATCTAGTACTAATAATCTGTCTGTAATTGTTTTCCATTCTATTTCTCCCTTTAGCCATCTATCTTTGCAAACGGACCATGCAGAACAAAGCTAGGCTGGAGCTGGCGGATTATGAAGCCGTAGGTACACTGCTGCTAGAGTTTAAAGCTGGGGGTTGCAGGGATGGCTTTGCTTGCCAATTGAATGCTGCTATTTTGTGCTTTGGGGTCAGCCTTTACTGTGTCTTTTTCTTAGTTGACAGAATTGTGTGAAGGTTGATACAGAGACAACATCAGGAACATGATTGATGAACATCCCCAGCTTTGCAGTGTCTCAAATTAAAGCATCTGCTGTATAGCCAGCCCTCCAAGATTGGGGGAAATTACACAGAAGTTTAGCTTGGTGTCCTGTTTGTGGTTAAGAAATCCTGGTTTATACAGCAGATTTTAACACACGGAAATGATGGATTTTAAGTTGCACTATTGGCCAGTTAAATTGTTCATGACCCATCTAGTTACAAAAGTTTTCAGATATTAGACTTGGAATGTTTTCAATATGCCATGTAAAAAAAATTACTCCAGCTTATTCAGAATGTGTTCTCTGATATGAAATTATTATCAATAAAAATACCCCAAACCTCTGTGTCAGACTGTGCAGGGGGTTGGACAGAGAGGAGTGGGAAGATGGAGACAGGAGGGGCAGGGCTGTGTATTTCTTTGAATACAAGCAGTGTAACACTGAGCAGCTAAACTTTTTGTTCTATCATATTGACTTTTTTCCTGTTTACTAGCTCAACAGTGTAACAGCTGAAATTCATATTTGGAGTTTTTCATTGGAGGGTTTGTTTACAAAGCTGGTTCTAGTGGACTTCTATGGTCATATTTCTTACTGTGAAAACATATAGCATGTATTTTAAGAATGGACTTTTTCCGAAGAATGGAGTTTTTCTTTATTGCTTGCCCTCTACAATTTGGGACTTTAATGCACATAGAGAGACATACACATGCCATTTGGTTCTTTCAGTGCAGAGCATGCAAAAATTGCCACTTATCTAGTCCACCCTGGAAGTGCATCCAGAGTTCCCAAGAGATTTAATCTTGAACAGGCATAAAGGAAGGAATATAATAACCTGCATGCACTTACTTGTCCTTTTGCTGAGTTTTCTCTTCTGCATATTACTGATTTCATTATTAAAATCATTAAAATTGCTCACATCCAACCAATTAACTGTAAGTGCTCTAAAGATCTATCATAAGGCAACAAAAGGCTGTTCAGGGGTGCACATACTCCCACACACATGCAGCGAGGCTATGGCTAAGTACTTTTGCACATTGTTGCCTACTGAGAGTAGCAGTGCTCCAGTGATGGTAAATAATTAGATCTTGGCAGCCTCTCATTTTTCTTGTGAATATTGCATTGCACAATTAGAGATTACTTCTGCATTCAAACTTTGTTCTCTTAATTAGAGACATTCAGATAAGAATGGCACCGACTCTTCCTATTCATTATGGGAGCTGAAGCACATCCAGCAATGGAGATGTAAGCTAAGCACAAGTGAGAGAAACAAGCTTGCAGGAGTGAGAAGCATTTAGTACATTTAGTACACATTTTTGGAGATGCAGCATGAAGATGCTTCTCCATAGGTATCAGCAATGACCTGGAGCTTTGAAAGAGAATCTCTACAAAGCGTCTCAGGGGACATCTCATTTTAAGGTTCTGCTTGCAGCATTTATAGGAAACCCCCCACCCCCATTTATACTGGATAGAACAGGGGTCTTGATGATACGATTAAGCTTGTATAATTGCATTCAGTTTTGTTTATAATTGGTCAAACATAAGCATGATACAAATATTGCTTCAATTGGTGATGTTTCATTGGCTTCAGCATATTTACTCCAGGGAGCTCATGTGAACAAAATTTAAAACAAAATTAAAAAAAAAACAAACACCCACAAAAATTGATGTTACAGATAATTACAAGTAGTTCTTCCTTGTAGCCACAGTTAAGGAAATCATCATAGTTCAGCACAGCTGTAAATCATTTACTTAAATGTTTTCTTCCATGTGTACAAACTGGAACTGTTACATGGCTTTTGTGATAACAGGGCCAAGCTTTATGCCTTGTGTTATACAAGAGTTTAAAGTAAATAATAGGAAGATTTCTTTTTCTATTGAAATGCATGTGCCTAAGCAGTTTCTTGAAATAAAGTGTTAAGTATGAAAAGAACAACAGCAGCACTACAAGTGTTCCATTTCAGTGTAAATTTGCAATAGTTAAACCAGCTGTAATGGAGAAGAGTGTCAGGTTAATGGTTTCACAGGCCTCCTTGTTGGGGTGGGTGTGGATATGTGAACTCAGGGTGCCATTTAAGCGTGAAATTCTGGCCATGCCCTGAGTTTAACCTTGAACTGTGACAAAGTCATATCCACATCCAAGTGTTCAGATCACTGCACTCTCTGTAATGGGTCTGGACCAGAGCTCTTACCTCAGATGTAAAGCAAGACTCCATGTGGACCCAGTCTTTGTGGTAACTGTGTTCACTGTTCAGTCAAACAAGCTGTTTCCTTTTGTGAATCATGCTGGCAGTCCCCAGCCTTCAATGCTGTGCTGCTGTGTAATGCTCTCAGCAGTGACCAGGACTGAGCAAAGCAAGGGATGCTCAGGCTTTGCACCTTAGCAAAAGCCTGAAGAGAAGAGAGCAGTGGGATGAGGAAGGGAAAGTGAGGATGAGAGGGAAATGTGCAGGTGGCAGCCATCTGCTATCAGAAATGAAAAGTTGTCAGCTTCACAAAGCTGCTCAGTGTTATCTTTTGGGAACAAGTCCATTTTTTTCATAGTAGAGCTCAAACTGTCTTCATCACACTCCATTACTTATCCCTGACAGGGTCCTTTGGACTGCAGCCTGAAAAGATGTGTTACAGCCTTGCTTTGCCTGCAAGATAGCTCACCTGAAACCAACACTTGACTTCCATGTTTTGAGTGTTACAGCTTAAAAAAAAAAATACCCACCATGTTAACTGTACTCTCAAGTAATTGTTGTAATCACAGAGATTTGTTGTTCTTACTATTTTCACATTTTGTCAGGAAAACTTAGCAAGACTTCAGAGAGCATTTGCAAGAAAGTGGGAATTCATCTTCATGCAAGCAGAGGCCCAAGTGAAGTGAGTAATCCCAGAGCACTGAACTGCACCAGTATTTAGAGCTGTGAAGGGAAGGGGATTCTGTACAAATAAAACTTCTTTGTCAAAATCTTTACTGTGACTAAGCTCAGAAGGTGTTGGTGAATTTTAATCAGTGGCAGACTGGAAAGAGTAGAGAGCCAATTCTGAAGGTCTGTGCCAGAATCTTAAATGTGGTTTAATTATCTGTACATGTAAATGTTGGTCAGGAGCTCCCAGGCTTGGATTCATCATGGGAGCTTGGGCTATTCATGTGCCCATTCTGCTTCTACATTTGTGTAGTATTTTTGTTTTGTATAAATGGAAAGAACAGAATTTTGTCATCTGTCTGTGTTACTCTATGCTTGTAGGGTATTTCTGAGTCCAAAATTACTGTCACTTCAATGTGATTATAAGGGTGATGTTTACAGCAAGCTGAATTTGATTTTCTCATTTATCGTAATCCCTAGTTGACTGTTGTATCTTTACTCTGTAGTTCAACTCATGCTACTAAATTAACATAGAGAATTGGGTTCCACTTACATGAAACTTACTCATATTTAGTATTTGGGTTTTTCCTATCCTCTGCTCATAATTGAAATTTACTTTTCTTCTCATCTTCCCTTATGGAAGCAGTTTGAAGCCTCTTGGTATTTCGAGCATATTTTCATGATTGCTGGAAAATGGATATGGTCCAGGGTTTGCATACTAATGTCAACAAACTAGTATCTAAAACTCCTGAGTGTCCATTTTGTGCATGTAGTTGCCACCTATAAAATGGAAGGGCTGGTGAAGATGGCACATGAGAACACCATACTGACTCTCTGTACCACTGGAAGGAATTTGCACTTTCAGCATTAGATGCTAGAAAGTTAAGGAATATAATTTCTTGAGGGTGTGGCTTGAGGTATACATCTCTATCTTTGATTAAACTTTTGGAGTTTTGATTAATTCTTTGCTTAGTAACATTATAATTGTGTACCATTTAAATACATGATAGTTATCTTTTAAATTACAAGGTAGTTAAGGGATTTTTTCCAACCAGAATACCAGTGTTCTGTTTGGAAGAGAAAATTAGAAGTTATGATAGCAACTGTACTTTCAGTTGCTTAAAGGCTATTGCCAAGATGAAAAGTCTTAAGTCAAGGCGAAATTCTGCATTCTGTCTAAAACATATAATTATTACCTAAGAAAGAAATGTAAATATCAGATTCTTTGTGATCACCGTTGCTTATTCATCTTTTCTCCATCCTGTTTTCTTTGAAACATTAGTGTGAACTGGTAACTATCAGCTTTTTTTGCTGGCTAGTTTCAGCTTCTTGATTTCCAGTTCATGTCACGGTTCAGTCTTCAGGTTTCCAAAAAGGAAGGGATGGAGTTCACAGTGAATTCACAGCCCTAAGTTAACTAAAAACAAAACAAAACAAAACAAACCTGAAAACATTCCTCCTGCTTACCAACTTTTGCATTGCCTTCAATGTCTTTGTTTGCACACACATTCCACTGCTATACCTAGATTGCTCAAAAACCACAGCCACAGAGCATCTAGCTGTTTTGGGTCTTCATAGGTTAAAGTGGGAAATACTGAGTTATCAGCAAGTTTGGATATAAGAGTTGACAATCTGGGTTGAGCACAAAGTACCGGTGAATTGAATTCATGAAGAGAATTCATGAAGCCTCTGAAGAGTCCCTCCAGTTTGTATGTACTGTGTGATTTAAGGTTGGCAGAAGACTTCACCTGCTCCTTCAGCCAGGTGTGAGGGACTCACTCAGAAGTAGTAGTTTTGGGCTGGGTATCCTCAGTGCAGTACAACGACTGCAGTCTGGTGGCTGCTCTGTCTCTGTGAGGGGACAGAGCTTGTGCAGAACTTTTTTCTCACCTCAGCCTTGCAAAGAGGTAATTCAGCGAGTGATGCCAAACTGTGGAGGACTTGGGCTCTTTGTGGGGAGTAGTATTCAGAAACATCAGTTTTAGTCCCCTGCTTCCATTCCTCTTGATACATTTCTAGCACAGACTTAGCCAAGGGACATTGCCCCTCCAAAAGTAAAACAGGTGGGAGAGAACCTGGTGGTCAAAAATCCCAGCTGGTGTGGGTTTTTTTTCCTCACTGCTTTGATTTTCCTGGGTGGCAGCAATCTGGCAACCCAGCACAGGGATGCTGTGAGCTTTTCTAAATCCTGCTCTGGAAGTAGAGGCTGTTCCTTCTTCCATGTGCTTCCTCCAAGTCTCTATACAGGTAGATTGTGCAAGCTAGTGGTGATTTTGCTGTCCTCGTGTTTAGAGCTGCACACAGGAGTGAGGTGCCAAATGTGACTTGCTCACTGCTGCCAAGAGGTAGGGAAACAGTTGCTTTGAACAATTTCTTGTGACCTTTGAGTGAGTTGATTCGCTGGCTGCATCAGGACTGAAACTACTGAATTACTGTTGTGCCAGCCCAGGTGTGTCTCTCTTGGGTGGGTGCTGGCTTGCACAGGGCCGTGCAGCAAGCTCAGCTCTGGTCACCTGTGCTTGGTCACCCCTTGCTCTGCCTGTACTGGGGCACACAGGCAGAGCCAGTCTTTGTGTTGAAAGCTCTAAGGAGGAGTGGCCACAAGTGCTAACCATGTTGTTGCTGCTGGGCATCCCACTGCTGCAGCATCCTCTGCAGTTTGTAGTCATGCCAGTGGTGCTGCTGGGGCACCAGAGTGCGATGGGGTCTCCTAATTAGGACCTTGGTCCAGCACCAGCCAAGAGCCTCACCTGGAGCAAACAGGTTCTGGTGGTCTCCTCACACAGACAAAGCCACAAACTTCTCCAGCCTGTCAAATCAAGGTCTGGAAACAGAGTATCAGGAAAGGTTGTTTTCCTCAACAGATGAAAAAACAGGTCTTAAATTTTTCACATTATTAGGAGAATCTCTTTTGACCCATATTGGAGTAAACATCAGCATTATTTTGTTCATGGCATGTGGCCTTGCAAGTGCGAGTATGACACTGCTGTACCAAAAAAAAAAAAAAAAGCTGATTCCTGAATTTTTTTTGTCACAGAGTTAAAATCCCCATCTAGGAACTGCATCAAAGAAGAAAGTGTGACTACTACATTGACTCATACATTTATGCTTTTTTTTCAGAATTGACAGGAAAAAGGATAAAACGGAAAGAAAGATTTTGGACAGCCAGGAAAGAGCATTCTGGGATGTGCACAGGCCTGTGGTAAAGCTCTTTTAAATGTTGAGACTTTCCAGGTTTTGACAGGAAAGTTTTAATACTAGTAAACACTAGTATGCATGAAGACATCGCCTTTAAAGTCACCACGAGGATTTTCCTCGCAGTTCAGAACACACCAGATGTCTACAAGATTATTTTAGAAATTCTGAGCTTGTGAATGTATGAAACTATTGATTTGGAAATACGTGAAGTTTGGAAAATTATTTACTGTGCTTATGAAAGAAAAGCAGCTTACCCAGTTTGGCTCAGACTTCCTAAAAAAAAAGCTCCCCTCTTAACTATTTCCTTTTGGTGCCAAGGAGTAAAATGGATTGGATGCTGAGATAGCAGCCTTGGGTATGTGCAGTCTCTTGTTCAGCACGAATAATTTATGGGACACAAACGTCAGAAGAGAGTTTTGGACAAGATCTAATTGTGTATTTTAGAAAGATAAGGTAGCATGAAGGTTGTAAACAGAGGAGTAACACAATTACCATCTCTTTTCAGCCAGGTTGTGTGAACACCACAGAAATGGACATTAGAAAGTGTCGCCGTATGAAAAATCCACAGAAAGTGAAAAAGGTCAGTTTGAGTTCTTGGTTTTGGCTTTTGCTTTTTTGGGGTTTCTTTGATTCATTGGTTTTGGTTATGTTTTAATGTAAGTCATACTTGACATCTACAGTATATCAGATTTACCCAACAGGAACCCCAAAAAAAGTTTTTTGATAATATCAGTTGTATTTGTTTTGCTTGATGAATATATTATCCCAGTTTTACTAGCAGAGTGGTACAGACTGGGTGATGGGTAAAACTGAAAAGGGCATTAAGGAACTCTGTGTCTCCGATGTCTGATGACTCTGCGCTCCCATAAAATTAAAAGCAATTGGCAAAAATACCTAAGTCCCATTTTCTGACATTATCTGGGCACAGATAATGAGCTGTTTACCTGCCTTAATCATTTCAAAGGCTAGAGCATTAGCAACTTGGGTGTCTTTGACTTCCAGCAAGTTTAAGTTCTTCTGTGTATGTAAAGTCATAGAATCATTTAGGTTAAAGAAGACCTTTAAGATCAGTGACTCAAAACCTTAACCCAGCTCTGCCAAGTCCACCACTAAACCATGTCCCTCTGAAATACCTCCAGGGATATTTACTCAACAGGGCAGCCTGTTCCAGTGTTTGATAACCCTTTCAATGAAGAAATTTTTCTAGATATCCAATTTAAACCTCCCCGGGCACTACTTAAGCCCATTTCCTATTATTTTCTTTTGTCACTTGGTTCATCACAATGAGCATACTCCCAGTGTTTGTCCTGCAAGTGTTGACACACACAGGCTTCGGAGCTCCTCAAAATTATCAGCATTTTAACATTTAAAACACAGTCTTTTCTCAACGCGCTTACAGACCTTCCTACTGTAGGTATCTGCAAGTGTGGTCTGATCTGTAAATTTTGCTCCAGGCTGGGTGATTATTGACCTGTGTGGGTATAAACAGTAGGAAATTGCTGGCTTATTACTGCTTTGCATGCTGCACTGTTCCTCACTGCATAACAGAGAAAAATGCTGTAATCCCTTCTGTGTGTTTATTGGTTCCTCAGTCTGTGTATGGGGTTACAGAGGAGTCTCAGCCTCAAAGCCCTGTACACATGCCCTCCCAACCGGTACGCAAAACTACGAAGGAGGACTTCCGGAAGCAAGTAAGTAGGTGGCTGTATGGCAGCTCTTCTGAGAACTGTTACCTGGAAAAAAAGCATATAAAATTATGGAGATATCAGCAAAACCAATCGTATGCTTTACCTGTCCTTGATTTTCACTTATGTAAAGTAATAAGTACCCACTGAGCAGTGCAGTTATATGATGATATGAGTAATACTGACCTTTGAATCTACTGTTACTCTGTCTGTGGACCAGTAGACAGATTAGTTTCCAGTTCACTGAGGATGTCTGAAAAGTGAGCAGTGACAAAGGCTAGGGAAGAAGCCAGCATGCTTAGGCACAGGCTGGGAACTGGTGGTGAGGAAAGGCATCGTTCAGTGCATAACTATTAGACTGTACAGTCAGAGCTTTAAGCAAACTGGGAAAAAGTTATTTGCACAATCATGCCAAAGAATGGCCAGCCAGCTCACACATCCTTGCCCTGGCACAGAGAGCTCTCCCTCAGAATTACTTTCCTGCAATAAGTAGTCTTCACTGAAGGATAAACAGGAATTCCTGGGTCAACATTTTAGTAAAGCCATCTTTAAACATGTTTATTAGGCAAACAGTTTTCAGGTGGTCTTCTGAACTAAACCAGAACACTAAATTTATTGGGCTTTTTTCTATCATAGACTGAGGAACTTGTTCATAGCAGAGTGCAAGTGTGCTGTAAAACTGATTGTGTGGTGCTGGTCAGTTAGAGAAATGGGAGAGAGGAGTGTGATTCTAACAAAGGGATCATACTGCACCCTGAGTAGTCTAGGAACCTCAGCCCCAAATATGTGTATTTCCTACTTTTAATTATGTCTTCTGAAGCTTCCCCTGGAGCTTTGCCTTTGGAAATAGAGACTTCTATAGGAAGCAGTTAATAAGCTGCTTGTGATACCTAGGGAAGGGTCCCATTTCCTTCTGAGTTACTTTCAAGCTGTTTGGAAAGAAAAATCAATAGCATGTTAGTATACTGTCAATGCTTGATGTAGAACTCATGGATTGTTAATGTCCTTGTCATCTCTCTCCTCAGATCATTTTTCTGAATATGCAGATAGAGAGACATTGTTTAAAGATGTCCAAAGTAGCAGAAAGGTGAGTGTCTCCATTTGCACAATTTCCCTTTCTTTTCCTATCTCCAGTGTGGCATTTCTAGAGACAGAGAGCGGGCAGGGTAGTGCAAAGGCTGATCCTCTTTCTGTGCATCTGTCCTCTCCCCTTCTTGACTTGCTGTGCTGCCTGTCTGCTGACCACTGAAACTTTTGCACATGCTCCTCTGCTGCTGCGGAAAACTAGGTGGATGCTGTCATATTGCAAAAAACAAAAGAAGCATTCAAAAAAGAAAGAACCCTTGCAGGACTTTTGTTTCTCACCCCTTTGCAACTCTAGAGTTTATTTTTAGAAAAGTCATTCCTATTTCAATATGAAAGTATCCTTTATTTTGTGGAGTAACTCTCAGTGCTTATCTCTTCTTAGTCTGGCACAGCTGTGGAGAAGGAGCTGTGTTTGCATCTGTTGCACGTGGTTGTTCATGTCTGTGTTCATACTGGGCTTGTAGGGCCAGTTCCTCCTCCCATTTTCACATATATGAAACCCTATGAGAAGTATTGGGGATTGTACCTGGACTTCTCAAGACAGTGTTTTAAGAGGTGAGTTTCTCAGAGGCAAATCAAGGTACAGTTTGACTTGCAGGATATTTAATTCTGGTAGAAAAGTATAAATAGGTGAAGAACAAGCTCAAATTGGATTGAGAAAGGCAGCTTCTTTACTTAGGTACTTGTAAGTTATGCACATTTGCTGGGGAATCACTGAGATGAAGGTAGGAATAGGCGTGCTCTTCAGTGACATTGCTTTTTAAGCAAAACTGTGTTGAACATGAGGGATGTGATAAGAGCTGGTTCCTGCTAGAGGAATAATAGAGGAATTTTTATTTAAGCGAATTAAAAAGAGATTACCCTATGAAATGTGCTTTGCAGTGCCTGCACCTGTAGTTAGCATGTGTGTACTAAACTAAGTAAATTAAACAGTGGAAGCCAATCTAAGCTCCTAATGGCTCATAAAGTTTAGCAATTATAATGAAAATTTATCCAATTAAATGGAAAATATTCAGAGGCTCCCTGAAATCCTTCATATGCTATATTGTATGGTTGAAATGAGCACACTTTTATTTATGTTTTGGGAGTTTGGATCTTTTTAATTAAGAACATACATTTGTGCTTTAACAAAAAATGTTTCAGATATTCACAGAATATTTTGAGTTCAAAGGGACCCAGAAAGATTATCAAGTCCATCTCTTAAGTGAATGGCCCATATGGGGATTTAATCCATAACCTTGGCATTACTAGCACCATGCTCTAACCAACTGACCCAACCCACTCCCCCAAGTTCTGAATTTACTTACAATAGACTTAATATACTGAGGCAGTAATAATTTCCAGGCTGGTAATTTACAAGCAAGCAGATCTGTTTTGCTTTGATTTTTTTTTTCCAGGTAGATCCATTCCATAAGATGGACTCAAAAAAACTCAGTCACTTGTGAAAATTGAATCCTATCTGCATAAGACATTTTTTCTTCACATTTGTAAAGAGTTACTGATGTTATAAATGTAATGTTGTCAATGCAAAAAAAAAAAAAAAATCTTACTAGTTTTCAGTAAAACTGGACAGAAAATTTTCCTGATTTGAAAGGGCTTTTTTTTCCTTTTTTTAATTGCTCCCAAATGGCAGGAGAAAATGTTGCTATCAAAACCTGTGCAAACTGATAACCAGGAGAAAAGTAAATAAAATGAGAACAATCAAATTATAGAATCTTAGAATATCCTGAGTTGGAAGGGACCCACAAGGATCATCAAGTCCAACTCCTGACCTTGCACAGGACACCCCAAGAGTCACACTATGTGTCTGAGAGCATTGTCCAAACAGTTCTTGAACTCTGGCAGGATTGGTGCCATGACTACTTCCCCAGGGAGCCTGTTCCAGTGCCCAACCACCCTCTGGGTGAAGAACCTTTTCCTAACATCCAGCCTAAATGAATATTTATAAAGAATTATTAATAATTATAAAGGATGAAAATCATGGTTGTGATGTTTATATCTTATGAGGAGGTGTTTGGTTACATGATGACCTTGAGTGGCAGCATGGATGGAGGGTCCTGGGACTTGGTGTGGAGAGTTGTGGGAAGTGCAGTCTGGACATGGAGCATCACAGAGCAGGTGGGAGGGAGGTTGAAAGGCTAACGCTAATGAGTCCAGGGGCTTGGAGAGGTGGGGGGAACCAGTGAGGAAGAGTGAATGTGGATGACCTGACCTGAGCCTGAAAAAACCCTGTGCAACCTGAAAGCCCCATTAAAACAGAGTATAAGCACTAGGAACAAATTTACTGTGTAAGGAGCTGCTGTTATTATCAAGTCACTTTTCAGGCTGGACCCTGCTCTCAGGACAGTTTAAGTGACAGTGTGGCAGGTCAGAGTGCAGGAGGTGATGCTTCCTTCAACAGCCAAGACTGACAGTGGCACCACCTGCCATTTTTTCAGTATAGCTCCCCTTCAGGAAGGATGAGGGAAGTAACAAGGAGCAAATGAGGCAGGAAGTGCTAGAGGAAACAAGTTAGAGCTATAAAATATGAATTGTTTCAATAGTAACAGACAAAATGTATTCATTTTCCATTAATGCATGCTATTCTTGAGATAGTCCTTGTCTGCCAGAAGAGGAACAGAAAGACTCTCTAAAGGATTTCCCCAGCTTTCATGAAATAAATGCCCACTACTAAAGATTTTCTTCCCTCTCGTCCCTGTTCCCCTTCCAGGAGTAGATCTGCACCAGCTGTGGGAACAGGCATCCCTCAGCGGCTCCACGCACCTTGGAAACAATCTTTCTTCCACATCCTTTCCTCCCACTTGGGACCTGCACACTGTCAGGTTTAGGCATTGAGATTTGAGTACTGTTGAGCAAAACTATCAATATATTCTACCTACTGTTTTCCCTGACTGCACTGTGCAGTGTTAGTACAATTTCATTAGATGTGGCATCGTAGAAATAGCTGGGAAAAAATGAGCATCTTCCTACTAGAAGCAGTCTCAGCTCCCTAGATAAAAAATCTGTGCTATCCTTTCAGCTTCTCAAAGTTACTGTGAAGGTTCAGCAGGCCCCCTTGATTTAGAGACAGTTGGGTTCTCAGGGCAAGCTCTGCTCCCTTCATTCAACTCTTCCCACCATCTCCTCTACCAGATATACAGTTTATCACACAAAAGGCCAAAAGTCCAGATTTTCATTTTGACAGAAATGCTTTTGCTTAGGAGTTCCCCTGCTTGTAGCCTCTTTAGACAATGAGGCAATGATTCTGCTGCTGTCATTATACTGAATCAGCAAAATGTGCTTAGCAATTCCCCCTTGTTTCATTTTAGTTTTCTTCCCCTTTTTTTTTTTTCTAGTACTTGTACTAGCACTTCTAATATCTTATTATTTTATTAGGAGCAATTCAGGTTTCACAGCAGATATCTCCTGATTGATCCTTTTTGGCTTTCTTTTCTCTTTTAACCAACCCTCTCTCCCATTGATGTCTAAGGGATTGCTGCTGCTCTGTGAAATTGGACGCTGCTCCCTCCTCCAACCCCTTGACCCACAGCAGTCATGAAATGTAATTAATGAAATGAGATGAGACAGCCCTGAGTGCCCGAAGGGGCAATGGGAACCTGCTGTGGTTACAAAAGTGTATGATTTTAATGCCTCATGATAAGAGCTAGGACAAACAAAAAGAAATAATTACTATAGAGCAGGTCAGGGAAACTTTCTGCCTTCTATGACCCTTTGTTTCACAGGGTCTTTTCATTCTCCAGCCTTTTTGAGATGGGGAAGACCAGAGGTAAAATTTAGCATGGACAATCATAGTGCAAGCAGATTAGTTGTTCAGTATGATGAGACACAATTAACTTAGTTAATTACTTGGCAGACATAGGGAAAAAAAAAAAAAAAGAGAGAGAAGAAGAAAAGCCTTAGAGTATTTCCAGTATGGACTAGGACAAATTTCCTTTGATTTATTTCATATATGCTGTCTTTCTTTTGTAAAAATGTGCCCCTACCCCAATCCCAGTGGAATTCCTGAATCACTTATGTGAGCAGACACGGTCCTTTTCCCAGAAAGCTCTTTGAAACTCATCCTGGTGAGGATTAGAGGCTATATGCCTTAAGTGACTTGTCATGAAGCAAGCCAGTATAAAGGCCAGGTGATTTTCCAACATGTATATAATTTACTGTAGTCTAAGTTAATTATAAAGTACTGTTAAAGTATTTTACAATAGTGCCATTAGACTAAGTAATGTACCAACATAACAAAAAAATTATCTATAGCCAAGCTTTGAAGCACAGGACTGTGATCCTCCAAAGATTTAAGTGTATTCTTAGCTACAGCCCATGACCCTATTTAGGTGGTAAGCATTTCCCATAATGCATAAAGTTACGTGGGTGCAAAAGTCTGCAAAAAAGAGAGGGATGAGAGGGAATAGTAACATGCAACAAATGAACAGTATGACACACACTTCATATTCATCTCATGGTTCTCTGGGGAAAGTCCTACCATAGCAATCCAGATGTTGCCTATTGGGATTTTTATGGGCATCTTAATGGAGACAAGCTTAAGGAAAATACTGCTATTTAGGAAAGTATTGCAGTGAGCTGGTGGCAGAGAAATCCTTGCATGCATCATCTCTGGGAAAAGGGTCTCCTGTTGTTGAGAAGCTGACTAATCCCTACAAAATAAAAATAAGCCCCCCCCCCCAAAAAAAAAGGATAAAAATGAAAGCTGTACCTCTCTGACATGTGACTGAGCATTCAAACCCTGATTCTCTTTCTTTCTGTCTTTCTTTTTCATTTTTTTTCTTTTTATTTTACCTATCAGTTTAATAGCCTACACAGAGCAGTATGTGGAATATGACCCTTTTATAACTCCTGCTGAGCCTTCCAATCCCTGGATAAGTGATGATGTAGCATTGTGGGACATTGAAATGAGGTAAAAATAATCGGTAGTCTCAACTAATGTTAGAGTTTTCTTGCCATTTTGTTTGTATGCTCTTCACACTGCCCTGTTTGGAAAGGTAGTTGTATGTCTGTATCTTTAAAAGATTTAAGTACATAGCTAATCACTTGTGTTTGTGAATTATTCAGCCCTTCCACTTCCATATGGCTTGATGTACGGCACTCTGTAAGTCAGGTAACAGATGTTCTCATACCTCTCAAGAACATACACAGTTTCAGGTCTAGGAGCCTACAGCTATAGGATACTGCTAAGATATTCTTGTTCCAGCACATCTCCTTTGATGCTTGAGAGCCTGCTCTCTTCTGCTCACCAGCTGCAATGCTCCTGCTTGTGTCTTGGAATCCTGTGAAAGATGCTGCTGGCACAATAGGATGGGTTATAGGGCAATGGCCTTTCCTGCTGTGCTGGATTTGGCACAGGAGCCAGAGGAATGTTGCTCACATGTAATGTGTGAGACTTGGCAGGTCAGAATTATAGTAGATTGATAAAGTGATTCTGTTGTTCTCCTGTTGGTGAACAAGCTGGTTTGTCTCTGGTATGGTGTCTAAGAGGTGGAAAGGAGGAAGGATGACTGTAGGACTTTCAGTGCCTTGCACTTCAGAGAGTTTCTAAAAAAAAAAAAAAAACCAAGCAAAGCACTGCAATGGAGATCATATTTTACCCATGTTATGCTGGTGCAAGGGAAGTCTGGTCTGTGTCTACATCTCTTGCCATTGCTATCCACAGCCCTCACAAAGGGGCTAAAATTGTCCTGCCTGCCACTGCAAGTCCCACAGAAGGTCTGAGTGGAATCACTGTGCTGCATGTCACCTTCAGTACTCAGTCATATCCTGTGGTGAACTACTGCAAGGGCGCAGCAGCTTCTCCTAGTGTTTAGCTGCCGCCATTTGGCGCCAAATCTGAACAGGGAGTTAGTTCACTTTAGCTGATCTTTGATAAGAGAATGCTAAATCTAATTCTGCCTGTTCTTGAATAGTAATTTAAAGTGAGATACAATATTGGTCCAAGAAAGCTGATTCATACTGAAGGAAAAGGGGAAATTTTTTCCCTGTTTAAAAACCATGTGGTCTGTGATGTGAAAGATGTTTTCACCTGGTTCTCTGGTAGTCACAGAAATCCATTAGTTCCCTAACCTCTGCCCCTCTTCACGTAGTTTTAATATTTAGCATTTCTCTTTTAGTTAGTTCCTCTGATTTTCTCCATCTTCCCTAGCAGGGCTAGTACCAGATACAGCTCTTGCAAAATACTGCTCTGCAGAAACCCTCACCCACAAAGTAATCCAGGCATCCATTATTTCTGCATCTGTTGAGGTAGCTGCAAATCCCCGAAAAGATGTCTATGTCCCTGAAGAATACAATTAACCTGATGTCACAGCCTTTGTAGGAATTTAAAACAAATGCTTGGCTTCTGCTGTGATTTCAGAGTTAAGGAAGGTGATTCTCCTGCCGATGAAAAAGAGAAAGTTGTATTGTTAAGAGATGGAAGAACAAACAGCTCTGTATTTCCATTTTATTCTCTATTGTAAGAGAATTCACTGCATCTGCATCTAGTTGCAACTTGCATGAATAATTAAATGATCCCCGCGATCCCCTTGTGTTGCCTGCGAAGCTGTTTCCTCAGTTAGGAGAGCAGAGCCCTTGCACAGGAAAACAAAGAGCTTCTCACTTCGGATGGTAAGGCTGGCTGCTGAGTATGGGCAGCCCTGCGCCACTACAGTTCATCCTTCATGGCAATCAGGACTTGGGAAATGACACGGAAAGCATTCAATTTGTGACAGCACTTTGGATTTTTTTTTTTTTTTTTTTTTTTGTGCTAGAACATTGTGCAGCATCAAGAAGAACAGCTACAGATCTCTGGATTCAGTGAGAAATTCCCTGAGCTTAGCTTATGCATGGCTCTGCACAAACATGGCTTTCATGTCCCAATGCTCAGGCTGTCTCACTTAACAGGTAGGCTAAGGCATCTGCACCCTTGTCTGCAGCGCTGCTGGCTCCTGGGTGAGTGCAGGAGGAGCCATCCAGAGTGTGCTGCACTTCGAGTGAGGACATGCCTATCAATTCTGCTTAGCCTTTATACCAAGAGGAAATCAAAGCAGGCATTTTATTTACCCCTTTGGCTTATTTGTCTTCAGCACAGATCGCCACTGTCCCCTAAGGCTCCAGGATTAGGAATTGCTGTGGACATGACGAGACATGTAGTTTAATAGATATGTACTGTTAACAATGGCTCTACTGTCACAAACGTGAGCAGCCGAGCTGTATTTTAATGGTTGTCTCATAGTATGACGCCATCACACCAGAAGCTTTCAAACACTTTGTGAGCCCAGATTACGCTCTGATGTGGACTGTCTTTTAGGATCCTTGTTGTGATTCCCATGCACCACCTCTCCCCACAGGCATCTCTGCAACGTGTCTGGCAATTCAAACAACAGCTTACGTAAGTTGGGTTGTGTTAATAAATAATTTAGGAGAAAGGTTGTTAGTGATTTTGGGTGCCTCTGCATCTGAGTGTCCCAGCTGAGACACAAAATAGAAGTCTGATTATTGTGGAGAGTAGGAGGAAGATGCTTTTTAGTCTTCCAAGACTTAAGCATGGAAAAATCAGAGGCACTGAAAAATAAAAGACCACAAACCAGGAATCATTTTTAGAAATCTTGTCTGTGCTGCTTCTTAGTGAAAGTGCTTTTTTAATGCAAATGGGGATCTGAAAATCTGAAGCCAGTTCCAAGTGACCAGCCAGCACTGTGTGGGACACAAGGAAATGCTTTGGAGCTCACCAGTGGCCCAGGGAATACTGCTAGAAAATTTCTGCCTTGGCATATAAGAAATCCTAAGGTACATTTGAGGACATATGCAAAAAGTGCATAATGAATAACCATTTGAGTATAGAATGCTGTTCTTTATATGAAACCTATGAGAAATTACTCTGAAAATCAAATTATTCGCTGTCTCTCTTATGTATGTAGCTATGTATGTAGCACCCAGATAGTACAGTTGCTTTAATGATGACCCTGGTCTTTATAACTTTGTTATGTTATTTGCTAACTTGTATTTCTGCATAATCTTTAGAAAAAAACAACATCTCATCTGATAATCTTCCTCCCTTTGCTGCTTAGCAGAAACAACAGCAGCTGCTCGGACAGCAGGCAGAGATGCACATTCCATCTGTTTTTTCCCTTCTCTCTCCAAACAGCAAAGAACCTAGTCAGCAGCGTGTGAAAAGATGGGGTTTCTCCATGGATGAGGTGCTGAAAGATCCAGTAGGACGAGACCAGTTCCTTCGCTTCCTGGAATCAGAATTCAGCTCAGAAAACCTGAGGTGAAACCTTTTTTGACTTGAACTAAATAAATGCAACCAATACTATTCTCTTGCATAGGTGAAATGCAGTGTTTGGTCTATCTTGAACTGCTAAAAACACCCATTTGAATAAAGTTGGGAATGGTAGGATTTGGCCCATAGCACTGCTACAGGTGCCTACACTAGACCTGTATAAGTAATGTCAGAAACGGTTTTTAGCAGAGCCAGTGTTGTCAGGTATCATATGCAAAGGCTTGCAAAGTTGAAATAATGTGATGAGACACAGCATATAGCTATTAAGCCTCATAACAATATATAGGATTTACATGTGTATTTGTGGCAATGGTTGTGTGAGGGAAACAGTATAGTGATCATGTGGCTAAACACTGTTGCAGTACTGGCACTAACTAAATCAGATTTGCAACATCTACTTTTAGTTCCAGCACCTCCTAACTATTTGAAAGCTTGAGTCACCTTAAAAGCATTTGGTCTGTGTGGGAATTCTGAACAAGGTAGAGGTTGATGATACTCAGTGGCTGAGGTTATGGATCAGACTTGCGCCTGCACATGATAAACAGCCCAATTTCCTGTGAGGGTGATCCTTTGGGCAGCAGCAGGAAGCTGATGAGCAGCAACAGCAGGGCAAGCAAGGGAAAGCTTGAGTTAGTGTCAGCGTGCCAGTCTGTGCTTCTGTACTCATTTGTGGGATCCTTAACCTGCTCCTTAACTGAGGTAACAGAGGTAATGGAATTTGACTACCCTAAATATGGTGGTATCCAGTAAAACCCACTTTTTTTATGGAGTCTGAATTATGGTGCAGATGCTTTATTGTGGTGCTGTGGTTCTTTCTCAGGATATGATATAGGGACCAGTTCTCATGCTTCCTTTGAGGCAGTCCTGTTCCAGAAGGCTGAGTGAACAATGGCAGGGATGGCCAGAGAGCTTTGCAGGTTCACTGGCAGAACTGTGCCTGCTCTTGGGATGCAGAAATCTGCTGTCAACTGAGCATGAAGTCAGTCAACTGGCCATTGTATTTATCAGATTTGGCTGTCAAAGGGGAAATACGAAAAGCATGCCAGTAGCAAAACAGTGAAAACTCAATGCACTTTTATATTTATTGTTTTTTAAAACCTGAAAGTTAACCTGTAAGATAAACAAGGGAGTGCTACTAATTACAAAAATGAGCTTGAAAGTTTATTGCTGAAAAGATACTGAACTTGCATATGCTGACTGCACTTATGTACAGTGGTGCTCATTTGCAATTAAATTGTAGTGAAGTGCAAAATTAATATACTGTATTAAAGTACTCCTCAGATGGGTGTTCTGAAATATATCTGGGGTTGTGCCAATGAAATCCAACAGGTTTTATGACTAGCAGGTGTCCTCCACATTCATCCTACTCAAACAAATGAAGAAAGTTTCATTATGAGAAGGCAAACATGTACCTCCCTCGGTCAGTTGGAGCTGTTCCTCCTGCTGATGTTCATTCTCTTTGGTTTTGAGATGGCTTGTAGTGAAGGGAGGTGGCAAGTCAGAGGGCTAGCATAGAGAGGTTAAATCCTGCATCCTTTGTGGAAGACACTGGTATCGTTTTTAGTTAGTATGGCAACTTTGCTATCAATCTTAGGTTATCTTTATCTTGGTAGCATGGTATGTTATTATTATGTAATACTGGATAAGCATTAGCAAGCCTGCTTAAAGCTTTAAATAAATGAATGCAAAGGCAGAAATATTAATGAAGTAAACTGGAATAAGGATTGTTAACAGTGATGCTAGAGAGAAGAAGGTGGCTCTGTGGGGTTCAGGTGAAGCAAAGAAAGCTCCTAAATTCTCATTAGGAGTGTGTGGCATAAAGGAAAGCTACTGGATGTTTAAACATGCAAGCAAAATCTAAGTTAAACTCAACAGCAAGGTTGGGTGGTATCTGTCTCACTTAAGTTTACAGCTTGGAAGCATACAATTTCTTCTGTATTATCCAGGCTCCATTTAGAGAGAGACAAGAGAAGCCGAAGAAGAATCGGTAAATCACCTGGGAAGGATTTGTTTCAGTTTTAAGTGGAAACAAAACTAAAAGGACCTAAATTACTCTGTAAAGCACTTGTCTCTTTTTACCATAAGCCTGGGGAGATGGATTCAGTGACAGTGTCTGCATGGTAGACATCTACAGTGAAATGAGATACGTCCCATCCAACTCTGGGAAGCTGTAAGGAACTTTCTGAGAGCACAGCATCTGGCACCTTGCTAGAAAAAGGACATTTGTAGTTAATCTTTTAAGGACTCTCGCCCCAGTAACTATCTGTGAACTTTTGCAGATGGGATGTATTATCTCTTGGGAGTGTCAGTGGGATCTTCATTAGCACTGGCCGGAGCCATGTAAGGCCCTGTGTTGAACTTAAGGCACATGAGAAAACCTAGAAATTCCTGGTAGGAGTAGAAAAGACTTCATGAAGTGTGTGCTTGAGAATGCCTCGAAATTAATGTAATTCAGTAGTATAGCAAGAGGACCAAATTCTGTTCTTATACCCAGTGGTGCAAGTCCCAAATCACAGGGCTGAATGTGGTGGGGTATTTCCGTATTTTCCTAGCTGAGAAAAATTGGTCCCGGTGGGGGTCTTGGATGAGGCATTGCAGCAGACTAGACTCAGTGACCTCCCAGATCTCCTTCCAGCTGTGTTTCTGTGTTCTAATAAACTTGCAGGATCATGTCCACCAGTCTCCTGGGCTCAGCTGAGCCCTGCAACTTACTTATTTACTGGATGTCCATTATTTATGTGAGAGCAGGAAAGCCAGTCAGTTGGATATTTTTCTCTCTGGTTTTGTTTTAACTCTTTTCCTTTCCCTCTTTATATCTCCTCTCAGTTGCTATCTTTCATCTATAATTTGTTTTGACTCTGTTGATTTTTGAAGTACCTAAAATACAGCAGACAAAATTCCAAGCTGGAAAGGGAAGGTAAGGGGAAGAGAAAGGGGAAGGAAAGGGAAAAATGAAAGAAGGGAAAGGGAAGGGAAAGGGCATCAGAGAGTTATTATACATTTTTTATGACCTGGGAATCTCCTGGGATATCTTCAGATTTCTGAGATGTTCATCTAACTGGTGGATTGATTCCCCCCTCCTCTCACCCCCCCCCCAACTTCAAAGAGTGTCAGCTGGAAAGAGAAACAGCAAAGTGGGAATACTGGACATGGGAATTTCACTCAAAGGAAAAGGAGACTGCACACCTGTTTATAGACCTAAATGGGGAACACATGATGCTTTGTGGGAATGCACTGTGGAGCTCGTGGTGCAGGGATGCAGGCGGTCTGGGCCTTATTGATTGTGAGCATATGTTGAAAACGGAGTTAGCCAGAATGGAATTTTACCTGCAAGAAAGTGTTTATGTCTTACATGACTCCTAATGGCTACAACTTGTTGCCAATTTCTTTTTTTCCAGGTTTCATCAGGAAAGGAGTGGTTCAGGCAGCGAGGAGAGCTGGTGTATTAAGTAAACACACCTCACACACACACCCCTCCTCCCCCCAGCCCCTAGTTTACTGAACAAAAAGCGTTTCCCGAGCAGTTTCCAGGCGCTGCCCGAGCTGCCGCCGCGGTGCCGGGCCCGGGCAGTGCCGGCCCGGGCGGCTCCGCCCTGTCCAGCAGGGGGCGCCGCAGCTCCGCCGCAGGGCGCGCGTAGCGGCCGGGCCGGGCCGGGCCAGGCCCGCGGGGCTGGAGCCGGGGGCGGCCTCGCACAGCGGAGGGGCTTCGCTCCGCTGCCCAGATCCAGGGAATAAAGGGCTCTCCATCCAGCCCCTGGGAACCGACAAGCAGCAGGAAGAGGGACTTGCACTGTGCATGCCGGGTGCACGGCTTGGGAGAGGGAGAGGGAGCCTGCGGGACGCTTGCCCCCGCCCCCACCGACACTGCGGCTCCCTCGGAAAGTCCCCTGTGCCCCAGCACACAACCTCGCTGCAGCTGGTGCCCCCAGCTTGCCCACCGAGGGCAGATTTCTGACGGTCTTGGCCATGCCAGGCTCACTGTACCAAGGATCTGGCTATTAAACAACAAAAAGATGTGAATATTGTCCTTGTCTGAGCTGCACTTAGATTTATACCTATTATTTTCATTCATTTCCCATCCCAACTGAGATGTTCAAAAGATACTTCTCTTGATGAATGAAGTGAGAACCAGGTTTGTGAATGGTTAGAGGTGCAAGACAGAAGGTGCAACAGACATTGACATGGAACCACTGAGGCAATGAGACGAGTGAGCTCAGATTCCAGGCTCAGATTGGAGACTTGGTGATTTCACTGTCAAACCGGAGGGACCATGTCCTCCCTCAAGAAGGGGCTACAACACTACCCTTATCTTGTCAGTTGTTCCTCAGTCTCTGGAGTCATCCATATTTTGCCTCTTGATCAGGTTTTAAAATAAATTCTTTCAAAACGTACCCTCTCTGTCTTGCCCTAGCAGTCTTTTCACTGAGGGACATCTGTGAACAGCAGTGACCAAGCATTCTAAAGTGCCCTGCTGGGGGGCAGAGCAGGCGTACTGAGGTTCAGGAGCTCTCTGTGCCTTTAGGGAGCTGTAAAGGATAAAGTGCCACTATGGGATATCTTCTGCAAGTGACAGCAGTTTAATTACAAGCTGGATGAGGCTGGAATGGTGTATGCCACTGACAACACTAGGACATCATATTATCAGCCTTCACCAGACCTTACATGCTGTTTTATAAAGGACGAAGAACATGTGATCAGTGCTGCTGTTCCCTCTGTGCAGACAGTCCCTGTGCCAGTCCTGCTCTGCTTATAGAGCACCTGTGGAGAGGACACACAAGGACATTTCAATTCTCCCCTGCCCTGTGGAAGAGGTGTCTATTGGAAATCTGTCTCCTACAGAAGGGGAGGAGGCAATGCAGGATCTTCTGAGTCCTTGTGAACTTGGGTTGGGCTTGCACTTCAGAAATTGCAGGAATGATTCAGGGAGTGCATTTGCACTTTATAATTGAGCAGAAATTCCAGCACAGTCATTGTGTGTCTATTCATTTCCTGGATAGAAATACCTGCTTTTCTCTTTTAAATGCTGTAAATCCCATCAGAAGCCCTGCTTATGCATTGGCTTCAGCATGATTCCTTATGGCAGAGAATTTGCCTTGGAGTTGAAGCCGTGGGGCTGGGTACCCCTCTTTGATGTTCCTTGATTTTCAGATACCAGCTATAGTGAATAGCTTTGAAATTTTTACCAAGACAAAACTCCCCTTTGCCTTGAAGAGGACATCCAGGCTTGGGCATGAACTCACAATTGCTTACAGTAAAAAGAGCTTGTTCTTGTTACTGTCAGGTTGGTCTGGTTGGTTGGTTTTCAGATTGAGCCAAATGGTTATTAAAATGGATGGAGCTCCTGTTCTGGCAAGCTGTCACTTCACAGCGCTCCCAGTTCTCTCACGAGTGTGCTTTCCCAGCCCGCCTTCCCGGGTCCGGGGGCAGAAGATAAGCCAGCAGAAAACATTCTCTCTAGCCAAATGTTTGTCTGAAGTGTCCCAGCTACTCTGCAATGATTAGCATCTTTTCTCCTATGCCTTTTCTACATTCACGTTTCCATTGCATCTGAAATTGAATGATAAAATATTTTCAACTAACGGATGCCACATATGGCATCAGAATATTGCACTGTGAGTGCTACTCTTTACTATCTGCGTGCATGTGATAAATGGGGTGTCATGGTTCAAATAACAAGGCAGTACACCAGGTGTGCCTTTTTTTTTTTTTCCTGGGATAAAAGACATGTATGTCACTCTTGCAGAAATACTCTCTGGCCTTTGGTTTTACAGATTAAGATGTGAATTATGCCCTTAGCCATCAAAGAGATTGTCTTCTTAATTTTTATGAACTTATTTTAGTCCGTAAGCATGGCCTAGTCAAGAAAATTGGAGTATGGCCATGACAAGATGCATCTATGGGCCTCTTCTAACTCAGCATATTTTATGATTCTGTGATCTCTTCCCATGGCATCCATCTGAATGCTGATCAGTTTACAAGTCATATATATAAAAAAAAAAGTTTTCTCTAAGTGCCATTGCTACAACTTCACATTGGAAATTATATGAATATTAAGTTTGTTCTGCATTTTTCATCCCCTCTGGATGACCGGTCCTGCAGGCAGGAATGGCCAGCACACTGGCACATTAAAGTGGGGCTGTGGGAGGCAGAGCCTGCTCCCCTCCTCCAGCTGCACGGCTCGGGAGGTTTCCTGTTTGCGTACCTAATCTGACACTTCTGCAGGAGCACTTTGAATAATTACGTATCACTTCTTAAAGTCACTGTTCTGATCTTAGCCACAGTGTAAGGGACTGGTGTAAAGTACGTCACACTTTCCCCCTGAAATCATTCTGATAGATGCGAGATTAGGTTCTTTGTCTATATTTTGGGACTCTGCCCAGGCTTATTCACACAGTCTTACCTAGCTTTCTATCTTTTTCTCTTTTCTGCCCTTTTTGCCTAGTACAGGTTTTGGTTGGCTGTCCAAGATCTCAAGAAACAACCTCTACAGGAGGTAACCACCAGAGTGGAAGAAATCTGGCAAGAGTTTCTAGCTCCTGGGGCCCAAAGTGCTATCAACCTGGATTCCCACAGCTATGAGAAAACAAGCCAAAATGTCAAAGACCCAGGGAGATATACATATGAAGATGCACAGGTTTGATTTTGGTTTTATGGAACTACTCTCATTTTTACTGTGATATTCCACTATCACACTGTCACTGCTCACTTGTAAATAAGGGAGATGCACAGTTTGAAGTGACTTTGAGGATATCTATTCAAGCTGGGTAAATGATATTTTCGTTGAATCTGTGTGTTACAACAGGCTAATGCTCCTCTGGGAACAAATGTTCCAAAATGTACAAGTCTGCAAGGCGCTACAAGCTGGAGCTATGTCTCAGAAAAATCAAAGATGAAAGAGTTCAGTTTGTCTTTCTGTACTCCCTGTCACCAAACTCTGACATATTTACAGAATGGCTGATATCATATAAAAATCATGGCTAATACTATTTTTCTATCATTTATTTACTTATAGATAATTATATTCCCCCATCAAATCCCAAATGCAGTAGCTCCCTCCAACACAGCAAGAAATTTGTCCACCAGACAATGCCTTAGAGTAATGATAGGACAGTAGGCAGCACAGTGAGCTTAATCCTTCCCTCCTAAGGGCCCCGGATTTTTCATGGAAAATTTACAGATAAATTGTACAGGGAAAATGCCTTTAGGAAAAGAGATAATTTGAGAAAAACTGTTACAAGCAAGGATAAAGCTGCATAACCTTCCAAGAAAGTGAAAATATAGTTTTGTAATTGTTAAAAAAGAAAAAGGAAGAAGGGATCATGTAGCATATATTATTGAGGACACACATAAAAGATATCCTCCTCATAATCATTTTTTTCAAAAACATGTAGTAAAACTAACAGCAAATGAAAGTAATTCCTGTTCTGTTTTGGGGGATTTTTTAATTGGCATTCAAAGGCAGTTCTTCAAAACACTCCACTAACAAAATATTTCCATCTCGGGGGAGATGTTGTGGACCACTTATACAAGGTTAGGCAATGAATTTTTCAAACCAGCATCATTTACTGTATTTTCCTGAATGCAATCTTGCTCCTTTGGGCCAGAATAGAAGGAATGTATGCAAAGTTTCGAGGAGATCCCCTGTGAATATCAGGCAACTTAAATGTCCTTTTTAAGCTGAGAAATACAGGACTATGAAAACATTCTGGTTAAGGTGTATTCTTTGCTTGGCAGTATAATGAGCAAGAACTTCTTACATCACCTGAAAAAAATGATGATGGCAAAATGCAGGGTTTAGCAGATAGGTGAATAATGGGGGAATTGATTAAATTGGTAAATTGAAGTACTAAGAGTAAGAAGGATATTTAGACAATGAGTATTTAGTTAGAGGAAGACACAGAAGACTTAGGCTTGAACTAATCAGTTCACAGTGTAATTGCCATTTAAAGGGAAGTTGATAAAATCAAGCTGGAGCCCTTGCAGTTAAACTGCAATTTTAGATCTTTGGCTAAATTTTATTTCAGGGTATTTTCATGCTGACAGATGTCCTCAGTTCCTCAGATGTTGTAGTTCACGAATACAGAAGTATGAGGCAAAGGTAGACCTTCAGACCCAGCTATGGTCTTCTTGGAGACTGAATCTATGCCAAGAGAGGATAGCACAATGGAAGGTGAGCCCAGTTGCCTTCATGTGCAGTGGACTTCTGGTAACTCTCCAAAGGCCAAGCAAGCTATTTGTGACTGCTTGATCAGACAGCTGCGAAATCTGTCTAACAAAAGCAGGAAGAAGCAGGACACTGCTGAAGGATGTAGTGCCCTGACAGAGCTGGAGCAATATTGACTTTTACTGGCTCATCCTGGAGAGGGGACATTTTTGTTTGCACATCCACTTCACGGAACCCAGTGTAGGTCACTCCAGCACACTCTGAATCTCCCAGGTACTGTCTTGGTGTCTCCCCCAGGTCACCCCTGCCACCTTGGAGGCTCTTGTCTACAAAGCTGCAGCAGCTGCCTTATCTTGGCACCCTGGCACCAGGAGCCCCTGGGAGCTCCCACACATCCCACATTTCTAGGGACTCAATCAGAAACAACCAGTCAAAACACTCATAGTTGGAGGGAAAATATGAGTGTTGTCCTGTCCTGTATAGCTTTAGCACAAAGAGGAAAACAGCTGAAATGTCCTTGTAAATAAAGAACAAGAAAAAAATTAGTTTACTCAACAGCACATTCTTTGAATGCCTGCAACTCTGAGACACTAAGAGGAAAGAAAAATGTTGGCTGAACTAAAAAAATTAAATTGTTAGTCCTGCAGTGAAAAAACAGGCAAAGGTGATGTAACACTCTAGTCCTGACTTGAGAGACCCACAAAATGCCAATTCTGTATAGAAAGCTGTGGAAATGCTGTACTTGGGAAGGGGAAGGTGTAGCAGAGCACATTGAGGTGAGCAAATACATTATCACAGTAAGTTGAAAGCAAAGAATTGTCTGTTATCAGGTGCTTTATCATTGTGCCTTTCTATGAAAGATTTACATTGTGTTTCCAGCTATGTCTACATGGATGTGCCTCTTTGCACAACCTTGGCTAAAAGCCCCAAAGAGCTCTCCCAGATGCTGCTCGACCATCTGGTAAGACAAGCAGCCTAGAAGACAACAGGGAGAAAAGGGGGTCTCCAGGCAAACATTCCTCTCACTTCAAACCTCTTTGTCCCCAGGCCACTAATGGTCTGAAAGCAAATGGTTCCTCTGTTTAGGAAGATCTCGTTTCAAAATCTCAGTCCTCAAAGGGCTCCAAATCCAAACCTGAATTTGATATGCATTTATTGTTTTAGACAGACCTCTAAGATGGATTCCTGTACCACAGAAGCAAGCATTTATTTTGCCGTTTTCCCATCTCAGCTTAAGACACTTGCCCTGCTGTGTGTCCCTCACTGCTGCTGCACTCCTGCACCAGGTCTGTGCTTGCACAGAACTGTCTCTCTTGCTGTGTCTCCCACATCTGACATTGCCCATGCCCTGCCCCGCTCAAGCCGTGCCAGCACGCCTGGGCTCTGTACTGTTCTGGCTCAGCCTGCGCTCACCACCCCCAGCTCTCCAGTTTGTTGGCATCCCCCATTCTCTAGCAGCACAGCACTGCTCCTAGCTCTGTCCTGATCATCAGCTCTGCCAGCTCTCTTGATCTGCAGCACCTTTTGTCATTTTAGTGCTGGGCCCCTTCAGAGGGGAGCCTACCAATTTAGCTGATTATTTTCTGCTCTTAAACAACTGTCCTCTGAGTAAAATATTACAATTATCAAACTGTTTTCACTGGGGAGTAAAGCAGCTTTTAATACAAGGGGCACCGTCAGGAAAGGTCAGTTCAATTAAACAGTGAAGTACTTAGCAAGATGTAAGCTCCCATAGGAGTTATCAGCATCATTGAACAACCAATGTGGGGCCCTGCAATATGAAGCAGGCACCGCCAGCTCTGGAAAGTAAATAGGTTTTGGTCCATCTGAATGGCCTCTTTTGGCTAATGAAGCTGCTGACAGCCAAAGTAATTCATCTTTAACATGGGAATGTAGAGCTGTGAGTGTGACAATTATGGCTTATCTGTACAACACGTTATTAGTTTTTTAACCATTCTCCCTGTACCCTCATCAAGCATCTCCATGCCTCCCCTTAAATGTCTTTCTACCTTCAGAAAGTCATTAATTCTTTCCTCAGTCCCTTGGCATTGGGAGCTAGTATCACAAGAATGCATTGTGTCTCCTCATAGTAACCTTTTTTGGGTCATTTTGTTTGTGTTTATTGGTAGGCTTCAGAGCCAGGTATACTAGAGTAAGGTAAGGTGTCTTTGGAATTGCTTTCCTGTTTTCTTTGTTTATTTTTATTCTTTAATTAATAAAACAGTTTTAGATTGACATTCCTTTACCTGAACTAATCAACTAATGTTTCTGTGAAGATGATGCAGGGAAATTCAGTTCTAATCAAGGCTCAGTTAGGGATTTTAACTGTACTTTGCAGATCCTTGGCTAATTCCAGAGCAAATTTAGACCATAATGCCAAACTCAAGGCAGCTTAAACCACAAATGTACCTGGCCTGGATATTAATCATAGAATAATTTGGGTTGGAATGCACCTTTAAAGTTCATCTAGTCCAACTCATTGCAATAAGCAGAGACATCTTCAATCAGATCAAGTTGCTCGGAGTTGGTCAGTCCAACCTGACTTTGAATGTTTACAGGGATGGGGCATCCACCTCCTCTCTGGACAACTTGTTCCGGTGTTTCACTACCTTCATTGTAAAAAATTTCTTCCTTAAAAGGAGTCTGAGATTTGAAATTTGGGCCCAGTTCATGCTCTCAGCTGTCCCAGGTGTTGGTTCAGTTTGTTCTGAACTGTGATAGAGGTACAAGTCCTTGCAGGATTCATCAGTGAGAAGCCATCATGCTTTCTGGTTTTGTCAGAAAGCTGGGAGCATTGACAGAACTTTATAGGATTCTGATGAATTCAAAACCAAACTCCAGGTTTAAGCAAAGATCTCTTGGAAGTGGAATGTCATTTTCTACCAAGAAGGGAAAATGAGGGGTGACTTTCCTTCTCCTGACTTTGTGTTTTCAAGCATGCACAGGATGTGAAGGCAAGCATATAGAGTAGTGTGTGCCTGGTGCCTATCCAGTGGGCATACAGAACTCTTTTTGTAGGTCTTGAGCAAAATCACAGCATGGAGAGAAAATGTGAGAATATTCATTGTGTGTCTGCATCATCTTTCATGTAAGAACTTGAAGAAATCTTATTCCTATTTTCTTAAAGTTTCCCCCAGTCCCCCCAGTTACATGCAGGCCTGTAAAGGGTGGTGACTAAGGATGGAGAATCAGGGTGACAGCAAAGCAGCTCTGGTTGGCAGTGCAGGCAGCCAGCAAGGGGCTGTGGGGTAGACCCAGGTGCTCTTCCTCAAAGGGGGGCTCAAGTCCACCTGAGCCAGTGCTGCTCGGTGCTGCTGGCACCTGAGCTATGGGGAATTGAAAGCACTGCTGCACTGCATTAGTTTATACATGGATGGTGTGCCCAGGGTTCCTGGAAGCTTTTGACATTCTGGACCTTCCGGTGGAGGTTAGGGAGTGCACAAAGATTTGACCTTTATTCTCTTCTCCTT